CGCCTGTGCCTATTTTGTCTGCAACAGTAAGAAATTTGTTCAAGAATCAGAGAATCAATAGTTAGCAACCGAGGAGAATGTCCCTTCTATTTTCGACATCAGAATGTGCCTTCATTTTATTTTTAATCGAAAATCTCACGCTCGGCAACCTGACACTGAAAACCCATCTAAGAAATTTTTCTAGCACCGCCCCTGCATCGCAAAGAACAGCAAATCTATTATCCACCTCCCAAACCAACTGCATAATGAAGCTAGCTTAAAGTTTCTCGACCCCATCTATATGGTTCAATGTTAGTGAAATCGTCGTAAACTTCAATCAGATGCGGAACCTCATTTGATTCCGGTTCCCTTCAATTTTGAGTTAACAAAGTAGGAATTCTTAGAGCTTAGACGGGCTGAAACGGAATATACGTTTCCACGCTTACGGAACCCAAAAATTTCTTTGGTTACAAGTGAGACCACCAGCGTCACTAATACATTCGGAAGCGAAATAATTGGTTCCTAATAATACCATATAAAAACCGGCGTTTTGCTTCTCTGCCTTCAACTGCAAATCTACATCTTTGAATCTAACATACCAGTATTCTGAGGTTCAATCAAAGCAGAGTGATGAAGATCTCAATTCTGTTTGTAGTTTTACTTGCCTTTGCTCTTTTAGTAGAGGAAGGGCAATGCTGGGGTCGCAGAAGACGAAGGAGAAGTGGTGGTAAATTCAATTCACTGTTTCTTTCTTTGTCTTGATTTTCGATAAAATACATACATTTTGATATTGTTAACGAAGGATGCAAGAAAATTCAATACGGGCAAGGTTACATTTATTAGAATTTTCAAGATAATTTTTATGACATTGTTCATCCAAAGCTCTTAAAAAATTTAGAAATGCTTTTATTTCATCCAAAGCTCTGATAAAACATTCTGGTAATGAAGAATCTTTATTCCTTACTTTTCCGTTAGATTATAAATCTTGTTGCATGTGACATTTTCTGTATTGTAATAAAGATAACTTGATTCACATTGTTGTATAATTTTCAACTGACGGTCTACCATCGGAAAATAAAATAAGATCAATTCTCAGATATTTCTTATTAGAACGTAGTACATAAACACTTATTTTTTATAACCTTTCCTTGCGCAGGTCGATGGAGTCTCAGTAATGGCGGTGTAACGTACACCTTTAGAAATGGAGCTACTGTCACAGGACATGGAAGTTTAAGCAACGGCGGTTCAGTAGGCGTCAGAGTTTCTATACCATTTGGCAGAAAACGACGCTCTGTCATGGATGAAACTGAACTTGATGCAAAGAGAGTCACGGCAGAACAGAAGGCAACAATCCCCCCAGTGATTGAAGTCGACGATGAAAAGAAAGCAAAGCTTGAAGAAAAGCAGCCCAAGATCGACAATAACGACAAAACCCTATCCCCAGTTCGCCAGAGCCAAAACTGTGATGAATGTATAGATGTCCAGCCCTTCAACATTAACGATCAAGCTGTTGAAAATAAGACCGTAGAGAACAACGATTTTGTCATGGTCGTCAAGTACATCGAAGAAAATATTTCAGCATTGAAACTGCAAGCAAAAATCAAATTTGAAGTATTTGATGTCGTGAAAAGCCCTGTTGATAGTGTCAAAGAAGGAGAAACTTTCACAATCAAAGCAGAAATGGCCAAGTGTCCATGTTTGTCCATCCTCGAACCAGGCTACTACGTTGTTACAGGATCTGTCAATGCTGAAGGTCAATTGGTTCTATCAAATGTTCTTATGGAATTTGAACGTTGATTAAGGAATTTGCTGCAATTTTTGAGTTATTTATTGTACAAATTCTTTATACAAAATACAACTTGTTTGAAAATTGGCTCTTTTATGACCTTTTTATGCTAATTTTTTCCCTGGATTTTGCTATACGTTTCAGTTCAGTCTAGTTCCGTTTATAATTCAAAAGTTCCGCAAAAAGTAAAAACATTTTCAAAATATGCTAAATAAGTGTACATAGATAAAAACAAACAATAACAAAGATGTAAGAGAAAAAAGTAGACTTGCATGCAAGGAATTTCTTTAGGAGAAGCTCTCTCAATAGATAATCTAATAAAGGAGAGCACACCCCTTTTCTAGACTCTAAATCTTTTTTAATATTGAGGATTTAAAACAAATGTGCAGAGAAGGAAACAGATATATATAATTTTGGGTGGGCACCAGTGGCGGCGCCAGCTACTGCCGAGTGGGAGGGTAATGGGCGTGGCCAGTAAGACCACGCCCTAATAACCTCGTTTCAGTGCTTTGTACCAGATCAAATTTCTTTAGGTAATATGATCTACCCCTACCTAGTGCTTTTTAACCCGTTTTTAGACGAAATATGTAGACCATGTTTTGAAAAAAGTGGGAGAGGGGGGTAATCACCCCCCATACCCCCCCTGGCGCCGCCACTGGTGGGCACTATGTACAGATTAAAGTAAAGTTGGAGGAGTTGGGCTCCGTACTCTGATTTCACAACATCAGTCGACGGGAACTTTAGTCATCTTATAATCTCTATCTAAAGCAAACATTTCAACAAATTGAAACGACAAGAACAAGCATTTATCAACGTAGACTAAACACATGGTCAGGGGTGGATTTAGCTGGGGGGGGGTGTAGGGGATGTGACACGCCCCCAATAGTTCTGTGCCCTTTGATAAATTTTGCTTCATGTGTTAAAAATCATTTGTTGGTAGTCAGTTGTGACAAAGTAACGCCAAGATTTTACTTTATTTATTTTTTATCAGTATTTATCTTCTTATCAGTAGCGTAGCGGGGGGGGGGGAGAGATATTTTCAAATGTATTTTAGACATATAAAATAATTGCTTTCATACAAAATTCAAAGAATCGTATCTTTAACATTAGTAGGTTTTTTCATCACAAGAGCTTATATATAACTAAAATTTCAAAAGCAGCAATTGATACCTATTCCAGCTTTATACTTTTCGTTTAAAGATTGAGATCCTTCCTTGGATTAGAAAGGCTTTCCGTGTGATTATTACAAAGCGTTTAGCATTCAGGTTGAAATAAAATTTAATATAACTGTTTAGATGAAAGGCAACAGAGCGGTGGAGGTCGCCCTCCTGGTCCTTTCGCTACGCTACTGCCTAGATTCCTCCCTTTTTAACATTCCGTTCAATGATATATTCATTAATCAAAATAATTAAGATTGTATATAAAATGTAACAGCAATTCAGCTAAAATTTCAAAATATAGAAATGCATGATCGTAGCATTGATAATGATGATAGATAACTGGAGCAGCCTGGTTCATAGCAATTGTGAAGATGACAAGGCTTCATCAGTTGTATCTGTATATAAAACGGTAAAATAAAAGATGGATCCACCTGCAAGGAATTTACAAGCAAATTTTTGATGGTCCAGAATTTAGAAAAACGCTTTCAAAAAGTAAACACTTTGAAACATTTTCATACCTCTCAGGATCTCTCTTTGTAGATTCTTTCTTTCAAAAATGATTCTAGAGAAGACACTAAAAAAGAAGTCATTTTAGCTTTTTACATATAATTTATGAAAATGTCGGCTAGGCTCATACAACCACCGTAAGCGACAATGCAGATGAAAATCTACGTAAAAACCCAAATAGACACTAATACGATTTATCTGTACAATTCGAATTTAAATCAATGACAAAGCTACCCACGAAACATTTTGATAGGAGATCTAATGTAAATGGCATGGTTTCTTCCAAGAAGTAAGTTTACGACCGATTGCAAAAAATTGTGTGGATGTCTGAAATGATATCAGCCAGTACTGAATTTTTGAAGTGTTTCTTACAAAAAAAGAAAATGCTTCAATATTTCAGCATTATCTTAAAACTTTGGGGTATCAAAAATCTATTCGATTTAAATAAGAAACAGTGAATTTAAAAATCAGAAAAGTAATATCAGAAAACATATTTTGAATATTTCTCAGGTCATGTACACCAGTAGCGGATTTAAGGGGGAGCAACTAGGGGCAGTTATCCCTCCGTCGAGTTGAAGTAACTCTAGCGCCCCTTTTTAAAACTTTTAGGTTAATTTGCTTCAAGGATTACTTCAAAGTATACAACAATTACTGTGAAATTTCTTTGCAAAGTGAAAAATGAGCCTTCTGTCGGTAGTTCGGGTCTGAAATTGTTGTATACAGAGTACACTCGTCAACATTTTTCAGCGGCCACGCTACCAACTGCCCCTCCTTCAAATTTGCTCTGGGGCAGATTCGTAATGTAAACTGGGGCAGATTCGTAACTTCTTTATTTTCCCATACCCTTATAAAACATATACATAAGAATGAATTGCGAAATTTCAGGAAGAAAATTGTAAATCATTCAGTTTACCAAGGCTGAACAAAGTCTATGTCATCTCAAGAGTGGGACTCAAAGTTATTAACACCCAGAATTATTCAAAATGTTTAACACAAAAAATATAATTTGTATGCACATGTAAGCAAACAATTGATTAATGCTCAAGGAAGCAAAAATGAACAAGCTTAAGTTTAATTCAATATGCTTATAGAATAATTTATACTTATACATTAAATGAAAATTATTTTTTGTAGTACAAAAGCTGACAAATGAGATATAATTCCATTCCTAGATGTTCTTTCTAGTAAAACTTTATTTAAATACCTAAAACTTTGCAACTGGAATCTTAGGCGGTTGGCACTCACTATTCACAATATTTGGTTTTAAAAAAATCATGGCTGTTATAAATGGGCCCCCCTTGTGTAGTCGCCCCTGAAGCTAGCTAAAAGTTTCTCGACCCCATCTATAAGGTTCAATGTTAGTGAAATCGTCGTAAACTTCAATCAGATGCGGAACCTAATTTGATTCCGGTTCCCTTCAATTTAGAGTTAACAAAGTAGGAATTTTTAAAGCTTAGACGGGCTGAAACGGGATATACGTTTCCGCGCTTACGGAACCCAAAAATTTCTTTGGCTACAAGTGATACAACCTGCGTCACCAATACATTCGGAAGCGAAAAAATTGGTTCCTTATAATACCATATAAAAACCGGCGTTTTGCTTCTCTGCCTTCAACTGCAAATCTACATCTTTGAATCTAACATACCAGTATTCTGAGGTTGAATCAAAGCAGAATGATGAAGATCTCAATTCTGTTTGTAGTTTTACTTGCCTTTGCTCTTTTAGTAGAGGAAGGGCAGTGCTGGGGTCGCAGAAGACGAAGGAGAAGTGGTGGTAAGTTCAATTTACTGTTTCTTTCTTTGTCTTGATTTTCGATACAATACATGACATTTTCTGTATTGTAATAAAGATAACTTGATTCACATTTTTGTATAATTTTTAACTGACGGTCTACCATTGGAAAATAAAGTACGATCAAATCTCAGATATTTCTTTTTAGTACGTAGTACATAAACACTTATTTTTTCTATCCTTTCCTTGCGCAGGTCGATGGAGTCTTAGTAGAGGCGGTGTAACGTACACCTTTAGAAATGGAGCTACTGTCACAGGACATGGAGGTTTTAATTCAATAGGCGTCAGAGTTTCTATACCCTTTGGCAGAAAACGACGCTCTGTCATGGATGGAACTGAACTTGATGCAAAGAGAGCCACGGCAGAACAGAAGGCAACAATCCCCCCAGTGATGGAAGTCGACAATGAAAAGAAAGCAAAGCTTGAAGAAAAGCAGCCCAAGATCGACAATAACGACAAAACCTTATCAGCAGTTCGCCAGAGCCAAAACAGAAAAGATAACTGTGATGAATGTATAGAAGTCCAACCCTTCAACATTAACGATCAAGCTATTGAAAATAAGACTGTAGAGAACAACGATTTTGTCATGGTCGTCAAGTACATCGAAGAAAATACTTCAGCATTGAAACTGCAAGCAAAAATCAAATTTGAAGTATTTGATGTCGTGAAAAGCCCTGTTGATAGTGTCAAAGAAGGAGAAACTTTCACAATCAAAGCAGAAATGGCCAAGTGTCCATGTTTGTCCATCCTCGACCCAGGCTACTACGTTGTTACAGGATCTGTCAATGCTGAAGGTCAATTGGTTCTATCAAATGTTCTTATGGAATTTGAACGTTGATTAAGGAATTTGCTGAAATTTTTAGTTATTTATTGTACAGCTATTTGTGCAAAATATGGATCTTCTTTGGCTCTTTTTAAGCATATTTAATTTTCCATTATTATTGTAGTAGTTTAAACATATGCAAATATCTCCTTCCAATCACAAGTCTATTTTGATAGTCTCTGTGGGCCTGTGGGCACATTTATGTAAAATAGGGAGAGTTGGGCGCTGTGCTTTGACTCTACAACAACAGTAGACAGGTACTCTACCCATGTTTTAATCTAACTAACGCGAATATTCTTATAAATGGAATAACAAACTCATTCTTAACACATGGGCCACTGCCAAATCAAATACTTGTTTTCATACAAAATTTAAAGTATCATATCCATGACATTGGTGAGATTTTTTCACCAGAATCTAATCTAAAAGCTTTCAAAGGCTTTGATAGCGTCAGTAATAACTATTTTATCTCCTGTGTGGTTTAAAAACCCAACATGGAAAACATGTCTATATATTTTTCGTTTAAGACTTAGCATTCAGATTAAATCAAAATTTGATAAAACTTTCTAGATGAAAAGCAACGGAAACTAAAAATTAAGATATGATTAGTAGCTTTTAGAAATAATGCAAAATGAACTTCAAGGCACTTTACTAGGTTCAATGGCGTAGCCAGGCTTGGAGGATTGGAGGAGCGAAGTAGAGGCAGACAACAGGGGGTCCAATTCTACTGTGAAAATTCTTCTTGACAAAACACGTAAGAATTTGGGAAAACGCCCCAATTTGCAAATGTGTTTAAATATATCAAATTTCAGTCATTTATTGCAGTCATTTTCTTTCAATCGTTTTAAAAAATTTTTACTTTTCTTTGGAAATATCACCCCCTCCTCTGAGGAACTTATTTCATTGCAGGTCTACACTTTTCTCAGATACCAACTTTCTTAGTATTGGAGGCGGGGAGGGTCTGCCCTCTTGGCCCTTACGCTACGCTAGTGCCAAGGCTCCTTCCTTTTTAGAACATCATTCAACCAGGGATGTAGTGGTGGGAAGGGGGGCTCAGGGAGCGCAGCCCTCCTTGTTAAAATTTTTGAAAAAAGTGGGGGCTCAGCCCTCCTCATTGTTTGTGCTTGGATACAGCCAGCCAAGAATCATATAATGCAAAGAAAACGGTGAAGAAGTGAAGAATCGTTACTCCACCAATAATCAGCCATTTACCATTAAACCAGAAAAGGAAAAGAGAAACAACTGACAGATTTAAAAGCATTGCAAGCTTTATATGCATGAAAATTTACACAAAGTTTGACATTTGACAACTTGCACTACACCCTTTTTAATAAGAGCACTGGATGCTCTTATTTGTGGATACTTTCAGGCACGGGTGTTCTTAAAGCTGTATTTATTGCAGCAATTGCATTGACTAATGTATTATGTATCATGTATCATGTATCATGTATCATGTATCATGTATCATGTATCATGTATCATGTATCATGTATCATGTATCATGTATCATGTATCATGTATCATGTATCATGTATCATATACCATGTATTGACGTTTTAAAAACCATTACGAGGCAGCTTTATTTCTGGCATTTCAAAATGGCCGACAATATATCCTGCAAGTGAGGAAAAGATTCAAAGCGTTTCGGCGTCATGAAGCTTTCTCCAAGAATTATCCCTGGTGGCCTTAGTGCAATAAATAAAGCTGCTTGTGACTGGTAAGTACAGACCGTCGTGCCAAAGGGCTGCAATCAGGATCATTATAATGATGATTCTCATCCTAATTATTCTCAAACTTTAGATCTAGGTATCAAAGGGATTGGAAGACTAGATTTAAGACTGTCTTGCATTAGATGCAATGTAAGAAAGTTAGTGTTTGATTATCAAATGTAGGTGTCTGACTTTTCTTCCCTAATTTTCACATGGAACACTCAATGTGAGGCAGGCTTTTGATGTTAAATGTTTAAATCGAAAAATAAAAAGGGAACCAATAATGTCTGGGCTTGCCCCGCATATGACTGTTTTTGTTGCATCTAAAATAGCTTTTTCATTTAGAGTGTTTGGAGCAACTTTCATTAAAGGTTGAAGGAAGTTTTATTTAAGGAAGATATTTAATTTTAAAGATTGAACATAACAGATATATAAACTTCATAAAGAAAACAAAGCACACCAAATTCTTGACGTTGACCAAATTGAAAGCTTCATGAACAATCACAAAAGTCGGGGTTTTCTAAATTTATTCTGGAATTGTTTTAACCAAATGGAAAAGTCGATTTAGTACTCTTCAAATTAAAATTACTATGGTTTAAAAGGTACCGGGAAATGACACTATAAAAGACATTAGAGTCTAAAATTGCTATTTTTTCTGTTGCTTTCTGGTGATTATATCTTCTTCATGTGCATATTTGAGATAATTTTTCTCTTTCTCAGTTCCTCTTCATAAACATTTACAAGGTGTATGTATTGCTTTCTTTACAGAATAGTAGAACATTTAATCTTAATAGTTTATGCAATTATCTAGCAGTTCCAAAGCACTTGCCATAAGTCCTTGAATAAGCCCCTATCTTCAAAAAAGCTTGCTCCCTTGAATAAGCCCCCACCCTAAAGTAATGTTTGTGAAATTAGCCCTCACCTGTGAATAAGCCCCCTTTGGCTAAGGTATTCCTCTACAGCAATTCATAGATATATATATATATATATGTCCTGTAGTACGTTCAGCAGGCTAAGGATTTTAATTTGAAGGAGCAAAGACTTTTAATAAATTAACAGACAAAATGAAGCGTGAAACTTCAGTTTTAAGATTTAAGACTTTTTGTAAAAATTTTAACTTTGACTTCTAAGATTTCATGCATATAATTTTCATTTTGATAATCTGTGTATATTTTAAACAGAGGTTCTTTATTGATAACAGTACATTGTTGCTGACCAAAGCTAACCTGTTGTATAAATACGATATTATTATTATTATTATTATTATTATTATTATGTTCAATTCCATATTTCTTGAATTAGTTGTTGAATTCGGTAAATTCCTTGAAAGCAGATAGCAACAAGCTACCAAAGGTTCCATGGCTTCATTCTCGTGTCCTACATAGACTTGATGTATCCCTCAAACTTCTTAGTAATCATTCCCAGAGCACCAATCACCACGGGAACCACTTTGACCTTTTTCAGATCCCAAAGTCTTGCCATTTTGACCTTTAAAGGCTGCTATTTTTCAATTTTCTCTACTTCTTTTTCTTGTACCCTTTTGTCACCTGGAATGGCGATGTCTATTATTGTAGCCTCCTTTGTTCTTTTGTTCAGCAATACAATATCTGGTTTTCTAGCTTGTATGTGTTGGTCGCATTGTATCATCATATCCCATAACAACTTGTACTCTTCATTTTCAGCACAGCTATTTGGCTGCTGGTTATACCACTCATTCACTCTTCTTATATTTGCCTTTTTACACATTGCCCAATGCACATACCTTGCCACATTGTCATGTCTTCTTTTGTACTCTCTTTGCACCAACTTGGAACATTCACTAACAATATAATTGACACTTTCTCCTTTTTCATGACACACCCTACACAACAAAGATTTCACTGTTTTTTCAATATGGTATTTCAAATAGTTTGTTCTCAGTGATTGCTCCTGTGCACTACATATCAATACTTCAGTTGTGCATTTAAGGTCGCCTTTGCTCAACCATCCCCAAGTTTTATCCCAATCAACATACCAAGCTAGATTATTTTCCTCTCCTTTTACTCACATTTCAATACCTATCAAGCCTCTTCCACCTTGTTTCCTTTTCGCCTACAACCTAGAAACGTTGCTTTTTGGATTAAATGCTTTATTCATTGTCATCAGCTTTTTAGTTCTTTGATCAATTTCTGTTATCTCGTTCTTTCTCCAATTCAGTATTCCTGCTCCATATCTCAGCAACGATACTGCCCATGTGTTAATTGCATTAATTTTATTTCTTCTGTTCAGTTTAGACTGTAAGACTAGTCTGGTTCTCCAGAGGTATTCCTTTATGAATATTTCCTTCATTTTACTTTCCTGAATCTTATTCCATTCTAAAATACCGAGGTATTTATATGCATCTTCTCCTACATTAACCACAACTTCATCACCTAGCTTTATGCCCTGGGATTTTACAGGTTTCCCCCTTTTCATTATTAACACTCCGCACTTTTGAAAACCGAATTCCATTCCAATATCCTTACTTACTGAGTAGACTGTTGAGACCATACTGTTAATTTCTTCTTCGCTCTTGCAGTACAACTTCAGGTCATCCATAAACAATAAGTGGTTTATTTTTACAGACCCTAGGGTATATCCTGGTGTCATTTTTCTCAATACATCAGGTAATTGCTTCATACAAATAACAAACAACAGTGGTGACAAGCTTTTATTATTATTATTATTATTATTACTATTATTATTATTATTATTTTGCCATATGCCAGAAACGTTACTTCACATTGTTGCAGGCTGCAAAACATACCTCGAAGAAGGCCGTTACACATGGCGCCATAACTCTGCATTGAACTTCCTAGCACAATCTTTAAAAGCTATACCTAATTGCTCTCTTTACGCAGACCTTTCAGGTTATCTCTCACCCTCTATCATAACAGGAGACTCTTTCCGTCCTGATCTATTTCTAGTCACTTCTGACCTTCGCCTTTTCATGCTCGAGCTTACAGTAGGATACGAAACTAACTTGGATGTTAATGCTAACCGCAAAAGAGAGAAATACTCGAATCTCATTCACAGCCTAAGCTCAGCCTATTCTTCTATCATGTTTGTTAATCTTTCTATCAGTTCCCTAGGTATCTTTGGTCTCTCTTGCTCCTCTTTCATCGACATGTGCAATGCTCTAGATATCAGCGAGAATCATCTCCGCTTCATGATCTCCAAACTATCCAACTTAACTATCCGTACTACCTATTACATTTTCTGCCGCAGAAATAAATCTTAGAATAATCCTGAACTTCTTCAATTCTAACGATCTCTGCTACTGACGACTTCTAAAACAAACAATGACGAACACACTTTTTCCTTTTTTTGTTAATTTCTTTTGTTTGTGCTTGTAATAGTCTTTTTCTTTGTAAACCCAGGCTAGCCAATCGCAAATTACCTTTGTGATAGTCAAATTTGTAATTGTAGTTTTAATTGAATTGAAAATGAAAAGTTTCCATTATTATTATTCATTCAATACATAAAGGCAGAAAAATTCAAACAACTTGGTTTCTCTCCCCATAGCCAACCAGACTGTATGTTTACCCCAGAGCACTGGTTTCAGTTTGCAGACGATGCTGCAGTCATTACAAACGGGGAGAAAGAAAACCAGCTACTCTTAAACTGATTTACAAGATGGTGTCAATGGTCTAACATGATTATAAGAGTAGACAAATGCACAACCTTTGGTATTAAAAAATTCTCAACACGCTCCCTACAATATCAGCCAAAGCTCTTCATCAATAATGAAATGGTCCCTCCTGTCATAACTGGAGAGTCTTTTAAGTATCTTGGGCGTCACTTCGACTTTAATATGAGCAACCAAGAACATATGTCTAAGCAGCTCAGCTCCATCTTCACAGAACTCCTAACGCAAATTGATTCTTTACCTCTCCATCCAAAGAATAAGCTGCTTCTTTATAACAGCTATCTTCTCTCACAAGTTTCGTGGCACCTCACAGTAGCCGATCTATCAAAAACCTGGATCGTCGAAAACCTTGATAATCAAGTTTCTGCATTTATCCGCCGTTGGCTCGATTTACCCATAATTGCTACTTTAAGTGGCATTATTCTGTCAAAAAACCAGTTCGGTCTTAACTTGATTCTTCCTTCTGTTAAATTCATGCAGTGTCAAACTGTTTGTCGTAATGCACTGAAATCCTCTCCCAACAAAAACATCCAATCTTTGTGGAAAAATACCAGCCAGAGCAAGAACATCCAATATGATGTTTACAGGAATACTAGAGAAGTATTGAAGGCTGTTAGATCAGAACATAAAGAGCGCCTTCAAAACCATCTTGTATCTCAAGGTACCGTTCTTTCCTTCATCTTTGACCACTCTCTTCCTATAGCCTCTAAAATATGGACCACGGTTCAAAGCAACATGCCCAAGAACATTTACAGTTTTACTATCAAATATCTTAGCAACTCCCTTGCCACGCGAAAAAACTTATCTAAATGGAACATTACTCAGTCGTCCGATTGCTCTTTTAGCCATATGCCAGAAACGTTACTTCACATTGTTGCAGGCTGCAAAACATACCTCGAAGAAGGCCGTTACACATGGTGCCATA